AAAATAAATCAATCTCTAATAAATCTTTAAAATTAGAACTATTTGTGGTCTTGATTTCTAAATACTTCTAAAGTTATGTAGGAGCAACATTAAATATTGTTAGACCTAATTATAAAAAATATATATTTGTGTATAACAATTTTTTTATGACATAAACTAATGGTAGTAATTGACTCCCAAACTCGAATCTCTAACTTAAAATATCATTATTTTAATCTAAATTGGACTTAAATAATATTTTCTATATTTTAACCATAAAAATGTAATAGGGATTCAAAAAGTTCGCGTAGCAAAAAATCAGAGAGCAACACAAATTAAATGTTAAAAATCACACGGAGTAGTTGCTCTAATGTATGGTTCTGATGTGAGAAAAATGTTAATAGTTAGATATTTCAAATGTTAAATTCTAATTAGATTATATGTTTCCGCTCTCTAATCTTATTTGTTTGTTTGGAGTGTGAGTTGCACAAGCTAGAAAGCTTTGGTGTTGGCATAAGCTAGACCTATAGATTGGGAAATTAAAATATGGATGATAGTGTTAATTGTTTAATCTCAAAATCGTAATGAGAAAATTAATTTAATATGTTTTAAAGTTATTCCCAAGAAAATGAGCTAAGTGATATGAGACTTTATTCCGAACATGCCCCTTCACAGAAGCATTTTGGATTAGGCGAAAAGTTACCTTTGACTAGGACTAAAGTACATCTTTTAGCGCATGATAATCAAAATAAAATTGAACTTTGACTCTGATATCAGGTTAGTATTTTATGTTAAAACTAATTAATAACGAGAGGAGTAATCGAACAAGTATTGAAACTGTTTTCGAGATAACGAGATAAAAGATGTGGGATATATTTCAAACATGCCCCTCTAAATATATTTGTTAGACCAAACGAAAAGTTATATTTGACCATGATTAAAAAGTATCTTTTGTCCATGACAATGACAAAGAAATTGAGTTTAGACTTTGATATCATATTAATGTTCTATATTAAAATTAACTGATAATAAAAAAAGTAACCTAACAATTATTTAAACCATTATTAAATAAAATGAGATATATGATATTTACCTTAAGAATGACAACGAGGCGAGTCAGATTTGTGCTTACTCAACCCTGAACCCGAAATCCAAAACTCGAACCCAAATTAAGCGGGATTAAAAATAATGATATCATCCCCGAACCCGTCGAGTTTCGAGTAACCCGAACCCGTCGAGTTTCGGGTAACCCGAACCCGAAAATACCGGAATGAAACATATATTTGTATACATATGTGTGAAATTTATATATATAGCTTATATATGTGAAATTTATATATATAGCTTTTATATATGTATTTACGTGTAATTTTATAATTTTGTATATATTAATCGGGTCCGGGGCGAGTTCGAGGTAGGGTGTTATCAATATCAAACCTGAACCCAAAATTTGAAATCAGGTAAAACCTGAACCCAATTACATCAGATTTATCCCATTAAATTTAGGTTGAGTTCGGGTGGGTACCTACGAGTTCGGTTTTCATTACCATCCCTAATTTACTTATAGTAAGAGCGTAATAAATGTTTTGATATTGTTGTTTTTTACCTTCTTATTTTCACCTAGGACGGCAAAGTATAATATTATAATATTCCGTAACATAAGCAAACTTTGACAAGGCTCCAATTTTTTCATTGAAATGAATAACATCTTTTAGCCATGATAAGATTGATGAAAAAGCTGGAATAGAATAATCCGAATTAAGAAAACAGGAACCAGAAGCTGTAAAGTTCAATTGAGAAATGAGCAGAGCAGTGACGTAAAGATCTACACAAATAATTAAGCAATCTCACAAGGTCAAACTGAATTTAGGCGCCTGTCATAACAGTGAAGTATTTATGTCGGTATCTAGCATGAGGTTTCAACATGAACTGATCCATTTGAATTTCGTCAAATCTAAACCCGAATTTATATTAAAAAATTAGATTCTATAATATTTAAAAAAAAAACAAATTTATCATATTTTATTCTATAAAGTTTATTTGGTGAGAGGTTATTTGCTTCACTTTTCATATATAAGCAAAGTTTAATATTTCATTCAAGTGAAAAGTGGGTAAAAGCCCCTCAATTAAGTAGCTAAAATAATTTTTTTAATTACCTCTTAAACTTTATCAATTAATAAAATTGGTTTCTATATAAAATAATATTAAATTCATAATATGTCATTAAGGAAACCGGACATTGTCATTACACTCATATCACTACCAACACAACTGTGCATGTTAACTAATATTGATGGTTGATAGTCGTGATTAAAACAAAATGTATGTGTGAGAATTTTCTATTGTTAGTAATTTAACATTATATTTATGTAGACATCAATTTCACTATCAATTAAAGTTTAACGTGAACAATTAAAGTTTAAAGTGAACAATTAAAGTTTAAGGTGTAATTAACAAGAAAAAATTGATAATAACTAATTGTAAAAGACATAAAATTTAGGGGTTTTATGACCTTTCCCATTTAAAAAAAGAAAACTCATCATATTTTGTTGTATAAAGTTTATTTGTAAAAGGATGTGCAATTTATTGACATCGATTAATTAGCACTATCTTCCATTTATTAATCCTCCAAACTTATGAAACCAAATATTTATATACTTCGTGATGAAATTCAATTTACAAACTCAAACCAACTGTACGTGTACCTTATATATAGAGCAATAGAGAATAAGATGAAGAGGGGAAGCATATTTGAAATTGTAGGAGATGATTGAGTAATTCAGTCTAATTGAGAACACAAACTTTGGTCAAATAATTTTAGTGGGCCAATTTGAAACACCTCAAATTTTGTTTTCGGAATGATTGCAAAAAAGTAGAGTGTTGGAGTATATATTTGGCAATCCTCGTTTGAGAGAGAGGACCTCGCCCGAGAGAGAGACTCGGTGTTCTAATATGAGTTTCCCGTAGACCTCGCTTAAGCAAGGTAGCTTGAGCTAGAATTTTCGCCCAGGCTAGAGAGGAGCCTTAGCATACTGCCCGATTCTCGTCCGAGCGAAAAATTCGTGCCCGGGCGAGAGTGTCAGAGTTGAAAAGCTGAAAAATTGTGAAATTCTCGCCCAAGCGAGCCATTCTCGCCCGGGCGAGGCTGCACAACTATAAAAGTAAATGAGGGGATTCAAAAACCCTAATCTTCATTTTCTTTTCTCTCATTTCTCTCCCAACGGCGGCTCCACCCAAATGAACCATTCTCCTATCCACTAAACATCAAAACTAATCAAAACCTCTTTCTATTACTTCTTGGTGGCACATTTGGGAAATCTTGGAGGTGAAAAATGGAACAATGGAGATTGGAGAAGATGAAGGGAGATGTGACTCTTTTGCGGAGCAACGGAGCTTACGCAACCTAAGGTGAGGGAGAAGACCATTGTGGTATTAGAGTTTTTCATTAGAGTCATCTTCTCGATTTCCCTCAAGAATCGGAGCACGTTAACGGATAGAAACTATCTTGGGTGTTTGTGGTCCATGTAAGAGTCTTTATTTTATATGAGGATGTATTAGCCATAAAAGTGGAGATATATGTACGGGAAAACCATTTATTTAAGTAAAACGCAATATGCTCATTTATGGTAATACACCGTCATGAAAGATGGTTCTAACGTTAATGTGTTATATGATGAATAATATGTTGTGTGTGGTTTGTTTATGATAATGGTGTGTTATGGATGGTTGATTTGTTATAAACATATATGTGTGTGTTTGTAATAAGGATTGTGAGATGTGTCGTTTAATGACAAAAGTAGAAATGGTTATGTTGCGTGATAATGATTGTGTGAGTTGTTTATTGTTATAAACATATATGACTGTGTTTGTAACAATGATTGTGTGAGGAGTTGTTGATTTGTTAAAAGTGGAGATGAGTATGTTTATGAAAATGACTAAGTTGTGAGTCGCTTTATTGTTATGAACATATATGGGTATGTTTGTGACAATGAAGGTGTTGTGGGTTATTTTATGGTGATGAAACAATGAGACACCTTCTGTTTATTGTGTTATGAGATGAATTGGTGGTGAATCAATGAAAAGAAAACACGTTTTTAGCCGACCATGATTGGTTAGCGATTTTGGCTCATAGCAAGCTTTGGCTCAAGCGATGTAGCAAGCTTTGGCTAAAGTTAGGTAACAAGCTTTGGCTCAAGCGATGTAGCAAGCTTTGACTCAAGTGATGTAGCAAGCTTTGGCTCAAGCAATGTAGCAAACTTTGGCTCAAGTTATGTAACATGATTTTCAAAAAGAAAGTATATTTTAGCTATTCGAAATGGTATAGCGACTTTGGCTCAAGTTATGTAGCAAGTTTTGGCTCAAGCAATGTAGCAAGCTTTGACTCAAGCGATGTAGCAAGCTTTGGCTCAAGCGATGTAGCAAGTTTTGGCTCAAGCGATGTAGCAAGCTTTGGCTCAAGCGATGTAGCAAGCTTTGGCTCAAGCGATGTAGCTAGCTTTGGCTCAAGTGATGTAGCAAGCTTTGGCTCAAGCGATGTAGCAAGCTTTGGCTCAAGCGATGTAGCAAGCTTTGGCTCAAGCGATGTTGCAAGCTTTGGCTCAAGCGATGTAGCAAGCTTTGGCTCAAGCGATGTAGCAAGCTTTGGCTCAAGCGATGTAGCAAGCTTTGGATCAAGCTATGTAGCAAGCTTTGGCTCAAGCGATGTAGCAAGCTTTGGCTCAAGCGATGTAGCAAGCTGAAGGACCGAAATTCTAACCTTGAATTTTTTTTTTTTTTATCTTATTCCTTTTTCATTCATTTCCTTATAAATTTTATAGACAATTTCAATAACCATATTTGACTCCCACTTTCCTATTCATACTCATTTCACAAGTCAAAATGACATACACATTTATTTAACAAAAAATCATAATTCATTTCAATATGTCCTGCAACAACCGCATACAACTAGCTGTGAGTTTCCAAAATACCCATAGCTACAAGTATCCAGAGTTACACTAAATCATTCAAGTTATATATCCATAGTAACAAAGTATTTCAACAAATCCAGTATGCACTCATGTACAAATGAATGCAAATAAACGAAACCAAAACATAAAGCTCCTAAAGCTTCCAAAAATGAGATCACCTCATACCACCTGTTTATCTGCAATGGGATTATCAATGACAAAAGCACAAAACACATAAAGAAGTAAGTCATTAATTCAATAAACGTCATTATAAGATAATCCACATTAGAAAATGTTAGTAAACCATTATGAAATTCATTTTCTTTGCTGCATAACTTGAACTAAAGTCGCTACACCCCTTAAGGTTAGCTAAAAGCAGATTCTCATTTCCTTTAAAAGAAAACATGGCACATAAACTCGGGCTGAAGTGTTGCCACATAAACTCGAGCCGAAGTGTTGCCACATAAACTCGAGCCGAAGTGTTGCCTCATAAACTCGGGCCGAAGTGTTGCCACATAAACTCGGGCCAAAGTGTTGCCACATAAACTCGGGCCGAAGTGTTGCCACATAAACTCGGGCCGAAGTGTTGCTACATAAACTCGAGCCGAAGTCGCTAACCATTTATGGTCGACTAAAAATATATTTCTATTTTCTTTGATTTCACCATCAACCATATCCAGTGAATCCACACAATCCTTATTACAAATATACCCATATATGTTTATAATAAATACGTGATTCACCAATTAATCATTGCACCATCAGAAAATACACACATTTTCCATTTCAAATGCACAAATTAAAGACTTATCCTCATTCCCACCATACAACACAATGTTAGTCATTTATTCCAAATATCACATAAACAACTCATATTGTACTATTTAACCATATAAGATATTTAGCACATTTTCAATGTTTCTAAACTACTTTCATCATAAGTTCACAACATATAAAACATATATATTCATCTTCTACCTCTAGCATTTTACTCATTTTCCTCTTTATCCACATTTTCACTTTAGGGTTTTGGGGGTTTTCATGAATCAACCCACAAACCCTTTCCATTATTGAAATACTAACTCTAAACCAAGAGGTTACAAGATAAAAACAACATAAAACGAACCATAACTCAAAAGGATGAGTTTCCATGGTTTCTCTCTTTTTGAGAAGAGATCCAACATACCCAAAACAAGTTTTAAAGGAAATAAGAGAGTTAGAATCAAGAGCTTTACCTCTTTTCAAACTTCTAAATGACTCACAAGCCTCCTTGCTCTTGAAAAGGCTCTCTTCTCTCACTTCTATCTAGGTTAACCCTCATAAATGTGTTTGGGGTCCCCTATTTAACGCAACAGCGTCGGGTTCTCGCTTAAGCGAGCTCATTCTCGCTCAAGCGAGAAAATCCCGCCCATTTTAAAAACTCAGATCTGACCCTCTCGCCCAGGCGAGACATATCTCACTCAAGCGAGGATCCTCTCGCTCAAGCGAGGATCTTACAGTCTCGACAGGTCCAAACATCACTTTTCTCGCCTAGGCGAGCCAACTCTTACTCAGGCGAGAATCCTTTCGTATAACCCATGATTTCACCTTCCCAGTTAAGCCTTCCTCGCCCAGGCGAGCCAACTCTCGCTCAGGCGAGACCACTCTCGCTCAAGCGAGCCAACCCTCGCCCAGGCGAGAATCCTTCAGTATAGTCCAGGATTTCACTCTCCCAGGTGAGCAATTCTCGCGCAGGCGAGAATCGCTCGCTCAAGCGAGAATTCCAGGACTGATACTATAATTTTTAAAGACTTAATTTTAGGGTGTTACACAAGCTTTGGCTCAAGCAATGTAGCAAACTTTGGCTCAAGTTATATAGCATGATTATAGATATATATGTATGTTGAATTATGATGAAGGTTGAATTTGGGTAAATCATGTAAGTAAGTTAATAGGTGCTAAATGAAGGAGTGACTGTATGGACCCGATTTTCATAACCCGAAAATTCTTTTTCTCTTTTAAACTTTATTCATGAAAGCGAAGTGCTTATTTTTAAAAGACATTACTCGAACAAATTGGAAAACCTGATTTGGAAAACCTTGATCTCTTTCAACAATTCTGCACCGTACAAATAATCCTAACCCCACATCGGGCAGGTCGAGTAATCCCCATACCACATTGGGCAGGTCGAGTAATCCCCATACCACATCAGGCAGATCTAGTTATTTCTCCATCACATGTTCGTCATATCACAAAATATCAACTCAATGTCATACACCAATAAACACAAGGCATCACATCGTTCCAACATCATAGAATAACACACAACACCTTCATTATCACAACATATCCATGCATATTTATAACATGAAGCGATTCACAACATATTCACTTTGATAAACATACTCATTTCCACCTTTACAAATCAACAACTCATTCAAACAATTCTTATTATCAACATACCCATTTCATTTTAACACCTTAACGACTTATCACACATTCATTGTTATAAACACACCCATGTATGTTTATAACAATCAACAACCCACAACATACTCATTTTGATAAACATACTCGTATCCATTTTGTCGCGCCCCGATTTTCGGCCGCACGACTTCGTTAGAGTCGCCACTACATTTTATGGTCAAAAAATGTAGAAAATTTTGTTAGCCCAATTACGTTGGGGCTTTGGATTTTGATATCCGAGTTCAGGAATCGGTTACGGTCTATGGAAGATATTAGCACCCTATCCACCCATTTAAATGGTACCCTTATTAATTACATAGACTTTTTATTTATACCAAAAGAACTTGTTAAAATATTTTATTATAAAGAAATATTTTTTATTTTTTGTTATGTCTGACAAGATGCAATCTTGCTCCTACGTATCCATATAAAGATAGGGAATCAAGACTACGTAGTTCTTTAGGTAGAAAAAGATTTGTTGGTTAGGTTAATTTTATTATTGTTTAGAAAATGTGATGTTAATCTTAACTTATTTTATATTAAAATGAGTGAAGTACAACCCTGTGTCCGATACCGCATCTCATTTTTAAGATTAGTTAAGATATTCATCATCTTTATGTTTAAAATATATTTAAATTTATTAAAAAGAATGTTAATTTACCTTTTCATTTCTTATTAAAATATATATTTTAGATTTAATAAGTAAATAGTGTAGCAATTATCTTTAAACTTAAGGAAGTGAAGTGCAGCTCAGGTGTCCGTCACCGCATCATACCTTAAAATGTTTTTTTCATTGTTGTTGAAATAATTGAAATATAGTGAGCATTTAAATTAGATCATATTTATTTTACTAGCAAAAGGACACATATTGATGTAACTTAAGTGAAGGCACTTAACCATTTTTATAACTAGGGAGTGTAGGGTATATAAATTAATTGATTTTTTCACCACAAACTAAACCACACGTGAGATTTGGGATAAAAGGGAACAAAAAAGGAATAATGCATAGATTGGCAGTGAACAAATTATTAAAAGAAAGAAATATTACGGTAAAAACTAAAAGGTGAACTTATTTTGAAGGGTAACTAAAGTTACCCCTATTCATTCATGTTTGCAACAGAGAGGGGAAATCCCCAATTCCTTTTCATACTCCATCCTTCTTTCTCTTTACTCTTTCATCCAATGAAATCCGAGCCGGACGTCAAGCCGGAAGAATTTTCATATTAGGTCTAACCGGTTTAACCAGTTAAGTCGTTCGGTCGGACCGGATGATTTTAAATATAATTAATAATTTTTATCTATAATTATATATAAATGTAAATTTTATATAATTAATAATTTTATATAACTATATTGAAGTAACATTTCTCTATTATTTTTGGACCGAAATAAACAAAACATTCCATTTATTTTTAAATTTTAAGTGAGCCGTCTGGTTTTCTTTAGCACGGTCGAACCGGAATTTCTCCGGTTCAAAGTGGTCCAACTACTCATTCGGTTAAGACTACAAAACGGAACTGCTTTCAAGTCCGGTCAGCGATCGAACCGGTCGGACCGTCCGGTCTGATCCGGTTATCACAACACTGCTTTCATCCCAACGGTATCAAATCAATCCAGCAAAGCCACAATTTCACATCAATCCGGCGAAGCCACAATTTCAGTGGTGATTAGCGGTGGTGGTTCTAAAAGGGGGGTAAAGGGACCACAATCCCTTCTAATTTCTCTTAAACTCACTAACCCTAACATTATTCTCTCTTATTTTTAATTATTTTGATGTTCCTGGTTTCACTAGGGCTGAGATTATTTTCATGACCGGGAGTCCATTGCCTCAAAAGGATCTGGTAAGGAACGTTTTATCCCTTCTTTTATTTTACCTATTTAAATTGGTTTTTTATATGAATCAGAGATTGACATGCATAAAATATGAGTTCAGATTCGTTCAGGAATAACCGTAATTAAAAATGTTTTAGGGTTGTAATGATGCATCTTTTCCTTTTAAACGATTATACACATGTACTACCATAAAGCTTTTAAACGGGATGCATAATATGATCATTTAGGACACAAAAATTGGTATCTAGGTAAAGAAGGTGTTGTTACCTGGTGGGAATTATATGATTCTTTATCGTTACCTTGTCCTTTTGCTGGTCCCTTGCCAATCTCCTTCCTTAGTCCTCCTGGTTATTAATATCCCCAGTCTACTTCACTTTATTTTGTGTGGCGGGTGTTGATGGAAAAAAGTTTATGCTAGAACACTATGAATCTTGAAGGGAATAGGGGATTTTTGTGTGATGTGTTAATGAAGAAGAAGAAAAGAAAAAGGTTATGCGAGGATACTGTTAGTCTTGAAGGGAATACGAGACATGAACAGATGTGGGATATATCCTTGTTATCTCTTCTGGTTGGCTGCTTTGTGTTCGGTGTTCTCTAATATGCTAAGGTGTTTCCAATATGTCGCTGATCTTTGAATTAGCTTTCTTCTTGTCTTTTTTATTATGGTTTCTACCTCTATTTATACTGCTTGGAATCCTCTCCATATTGGTAATTTTTTAATTGCACATTCCCAATTTAATGCATCTTTATGTCATGATTTCATTTCTATTTTTATACTCTAATTGCCTTATTGAGCTTGTCCCTTTATGCTATGTTAACTACTGCTCATCATGGGTATTTATCATTCATTTGCTACTAATTATTGAAATTAGCATGATTTGAGTCTGCATTTTATGGCTGGCTAATTTTATTTCCTAATTTTAATTATTACTAAATGTGTATCTCTTCATGTGCGTAAATCTCTCTAATTTTATTTTTCACTTGATTTTCCTTCCATCTTAGGGATTGGATGAGGAATGCAATCATGACTAAAAGGTGAGGGACTTACGCACCATAATGAGAGGATCTTCCTATTAATATGTTGGCTGAAATAAAATGGAGAAAATCCAACCTTTCTAGTTTTCATTTAGGGACCGAATCTGGCCCTTTCTTAGGCCGAAATAAGCATGTTCATGGCAAATCCTTCCTCATATGAAGCAAAATGTTTTGTATGTGAATTATTGCATTGATTTGCAGTGATGTTATTGCATTGTTCTCTATTAACTTGGTGTAGTATCAATTATTGATTGAATAGCTAATAGTATGATATGCATGATGTTTTTTATTGCCAAATATTGCACCATTAATTGGTGTCTTTAATTCTAGAATAGAACCAAAGAGGTAACAAAGCTAATTTTGAATTTGTGTAATTGGGACACTAAATCCACTAAGTTTCAAATCATTTTGATATTATGTTTTTATTTATTTATTTTATACTTTTGGGAAGATATTTTGGGCCGGACAAAATTGGGTACTCATACATTTTAACACATTAACAACTCATCACACATTCATTGTTACAACACACTCATACATGTTTATAACAATCAACCACTCACAACATACTCATTTATGTTTTTGACCATAAATAACTCACACACCATCATTATCACACAACATAACTATTATCATAAACAAACCACGTATAACATATTCTTCATCATATACACATTAACGTTAGAACCATCTTTAAGGACGTTGTATTACCATAAATGAGCATGTTGCGTTTTACTTGAATAGATGGTTTTTCCCGCACATATATCTTCACTTTTATGGCTAATACATCCTCATATAAAATAAAGACTCTCACATGGACCACAAACTCCCAAGAGAGTTTCTATCCGTTAATATGCTCCGATTCTTGAGGGAAATCGGAGGTGATGACTCTAATGAAATACTCTAAGACCACAATGGTCTTCTCCCTCACCTTAGGTTGCGTAAGCTCCATGGATCCGCGAAGAGCTCCATCTCCTTCAACCTCCATTATTGCTTTTTCATCTCCAAAGCTCTCCAATGTTCCATTAAGAAGCAAAAGGAAAAGGTTTTGATGTGTTTTTGAGGTTTGGTGGAGGAAAGAGTCGAAATCCATGGGGAGCCGCCATTGGGAGTGAAACGGAAGAAAAGAAAGTGAAGATTAGGGTTTGTGAAGATTAGGGTTTGTGAAACCCTCTCTTTACTTTTATAGCTGGGTCTTCTCGCTTGGGCGAGGAACCCACGATATTTTAATTTTCCAGACACGTGCTCTATCGCTTGGGCGAGATTCTCTCGCTCAAGCGAGGATCCTCTCGCTCAAGCGAGGATCTTACAACCTTGACAGATCTGAATGCCACTTTTCTCGCTCAGGCGACAACTTTCTCGCTCAGGCGAGACCACTCTCGCGCAAGCGACGACTTTCTCGCTTGGGCGAGGCTCCCAGAATTCCCAAAACTAAAACACTAGGTCTCTCGCTTGGGCGAGAACCTCTCGCTCAAGCGAGAATCTGGCAGTATGCCCCATTCTTCAGGGCTGTTACCTCTTTTCAAGGAGGATAATTTTAGGGTGTTACAGTGACTATCCTATAAATGTTATAGTGATTTGGAATGAATTCTCTAAGTGAGAGATGATAATAATGCTAATTGGATATATGAACATTATGTGGTATAATGTGTTGATTGTTATATGTTTAATATGATTGATGTTAGACGTTGTATATGTTTAATACTTTAATGTTATTACTCCGTGTAATTCCACGCTACGGTCACCGTAGTTGGTTCTTACTCCTTCTGTCCCTTCTTGTATGTGTTGTGCATTTGAGTTCAGGTTGTGGTGGTAGCGCGTTGGACGCTTGCGGTGAGGAGAACATGGTAGAGTAGGGTTTTATGTAATTGATATGTTATATGATAAATGTTTATAATATGAGAACTATGTTGGATTATCTATTTTGTAAAATGGAACTCCTACTAAGTGTATAATGAAGTTGATTTAATGTTTGTATTAAAAGTGTTCTTTGAGAAAAGATAATTGTTTAGATTATGTATTTGAAAGGAAGTGTAATGACATGCTTTTGAAGTGAGATGTATTTGGAATATTTTCGCCCTGTGATTTATAAATGGAACTAATATTTGTATTCACTTAAGTTTCCAAACCGTTCAAGTAATGTCTTCCAAAAGTAATCACTTCACTTTCATGAACAATGTTTTAAAAATAATTTTTGGATTAGGAAAATCGGGTCCTTATACAATTACTAACCAAGTTCATTGTAATTAATAATAATTTGTCTGATGATGAGTATTCCTAACATAAATATAAATATAAATGTTATAAATTAAGAGAAAAATATGTATACACTAATTTTTTAGTTTTTATACTGTCATTGTATCATTAATCATTCGTTTTTACTCATTATTGACTCTTAAATAAAAATAATACTGAATGATATATTGAATGACAATACATACATATTACATTATAAAATTAATAGAATTCAGTTCAAAATAAATGGAAGACCACAAGAGAGAAAAGAGAACTTTTAAAAGTCCAACTTGTCCTTTGGAAGGCTAAATAATGATTCACGAGTTTAATTGTTTTGTTATACTTGTCTGATTTTCCACCCACCCACTTAATACAATATGAAATGTTCTTATTGCTTAGTATAATTTTTCTCAATTTATTTGGAATCATTATAGAAGATACATAAGTAACTTGTGTATGTTTGAGATGTTGTCCTTGTATGCAGACTCACGTAGTACTTATCGCATTGGTCAAAATCTGATTAAGTACCCTAACTTTATCTTTCATATCCCTTATTTTCTAATATGGCTTCAGCAAGAGATTAGCTACAATATCCTTCCCACTTAGGTCATTCTACCATTCATCAGATGACATAACCAACCCTTCTTAGGCTCAGAAAGAAGCATTTGAAATTGACCTATCAAATAAAAATTTTCTTGCCCTATACTTTTCAAATTACTTTAGTTGGAGAGACTTAAGGGTTTTCCATAATTCCTTTGTCAACTTTAGATACACCAAAACTTGTTCTAAAAAAAAAACCATCCCATCAAGCGCCAATGTTGAAGGGTCACACATCAACTTGGTGCTTCTTTAACATCATGAAGTAGAAGTGGTATTCCATCATTATGTATCTTTCTTACATGGTAGGTATGTGCTCTAGGTTTCCATTTTAAACTTTAAAGGGGTTTGTTACGTGAGAATATGAGAAGTTTTGTGAACTTGAGTAGATTCCACCGTAAGGCTTAAAGTGAAGGATTTCAAAAACTTTATGCATTTTTTTTCTTGAAAGTGAATAATTTAATTTAAAAATGAGTGAAGACATATTTTGGTCCTCAAATTTTTTTTGTATACCAATTTGGTCAATGAGAAATTGAAAAATCAATATTGTTCCAAAAAATATCAATTGTTGGTCAAATTAGTCATTTTTATCACCTTGGGAAAAGACTATTTTAACTTATATTTGTGATTTTTGAGTTCTAGTTTAGATTTTTATTTTTTTTAAGTATCACATTAGTACACGCGAAAATTTATAAGGCCCAAAGTGAATATTTATCTTTTAAAAATATTAAACCAAAATTAATGACGTTTGATGGAATTGGTAACCCAACTTTAGTTGAAAGAGAGAAATAAATTTAATATTTATAACGATAATAATATCAAGTGCTAAAGTAAATACACATAAATGTAAACATGTAAGCATAAATTTGACAAGTCCACAGGAAATATATAATGAATATATAATCAATTCATTGGTTGGGGTCAATCAGAAAATGACATATAATATGCAATAGAAGAAATTTACATTAGCATTGGACGATTTCACTTAAAGTAAAAATTAAGAGACATAACCAATGTCTAATATTGGACGTGACTAATACTGGACAACTAAGTTAGTAGTCTACCATTGCACATATATCATATTCAAAATTTTCTGAATAAAAATAAATCAATCCTCAAATAAAGTTTTTATAAGAATGCCCCAATTATGCCTTGATGCACATAATCCCTAATGAAATAATGTTTAATTTCTATATGTTTTGACATAGAATAAAATTGGATTTTTATAAAGATTAATAGCAATAGTATCATCACGCATTAAATGGAATTTTCTTACAAAGATGTTATAGTCTTCTAGTTCTAGTTGGTGGTTGATCCATATCAATTGAAAAAGTCAATGGCCATTGATAATTCATTAATGCTTTGCCATAAGACCATGAGACAAGATTATATATTTAATGAAATGTCATCCTCCAGTGGTGTCTTTTCTTCAACTTTGTCTTTAGCATAGTCATCATCGCTAAAAACAACAAATATGCACTCAAAAAATTTATTTTATCAAAGAGAAAGATTATTGGTTCCTTGCAAATATCTAAATATTTTGTTAATTGCTGATAAATGTGTTACTCTTTGATCAACTTAAAATTAACACATGATATTAGTTCTAAACACAATGG